CAATGCTATCAGGACTTACAACTCTGTCAACCAGGTACTCAAGTCCAAAAGCTTACCTGTTTTTAAAATTAAATACAAATCTGCTCTTTTGGAATTGCCTTTTTAAAAATCCCTGATGATTAGCCGACTGATTTTGTAGCTTTTGTAAATTTTTCTTTTTATTTTTCTGTACTGTACTATTGTCCTTATTATTATTATTATTTTTTCACTTCGTTTTTGAGGTTAAGTGGTAGAGTAGCCATTTGGCTAAACTTCGCCTCAATTCGAAGGTTTCAATAAAGACATTTATTATTATTATTATTACCTATTTTTTATGTCAGTTCGAGCCTGCGCTCCTTCTTGGCAGCAAATCTGTCGATCACCTTCCCGTTGAAATTTTCCATGGTCGAAATAAATTCCTTTTCAATGGACAGCATCGGCAACGCTGTAAGGCGATCCTGGGTCATAGTATTACGAAGAAAAGTCTTGATTCTTTTCAATGTTGAGAAATTTCGCTCAGCCTCTGATCAGTTGTAACAATAATTTCTAATAGCTTTTTTGTTTCTTTTAGTGTTTTCTCCAAACCATATTGTATCAAAAATTACAAAAGAGGGAGAGTTCCATGTAAATCTCGGCAATCATTCCGTGCATAAATAACAGACAACTCTGTCTTTAAACGACTTTTTTCTAATTCGGGATAAGCCAAGCAGGTAGTTTCCAACTTGTCATCAGGAAACTTACCACAGTAATCTTCAAAGTATTCGGGGAAAAAGGGGATGCGGCTACCAAATCATCTGAATTGAAATCTGTCATTTGCAGAATTCACTATATTGTCGCATACTTCTAATGCGGCAACTCGGTGATCGTGATTGCTATTATTACGTCGTCTCCTTTTGTTGCCTTGGGGCTCAGTGCAAATACTTTTGGCTTCATTTATTATGTCATCAATTTTATTTCTCACATCGACAATACATTTTTAAAAATTATCGATAGCCGTTTTAACTTGCGCTGGCTCGGTTGAACAAGATGTTGACGTGAGGCATGACATGATGAAAAAATGTCAAACAAAACACGGAAACAGAATCGTTTAACATACGGCAGACTGCCTTGCAAACGGTTTCATTAGTAAAATTTTCTTCCATTTCTTCCATGCATTCAAGCAGTGATTCTCTGTTCTCAAACACTACATTTATTGTTCGAATATTAAAATTCCAAGGAGTTGTTGCTCCTTGTGGAATTTTTTTCCCCACAATTCTGTTCAGTACCTCTACGCGTTGAGGAGAATTATTAAAAAATCCCGGAATATGTTTCAAATCCCCAAAGAACACACGAACTTGAGCATTTGCGGAAGCAAGTTAGGACATAATCAGGTTTAACTGATATGCATAGCAATGTACATAGTGAGCAAATGGATATCTTTGTTTAACTTTTGCCTGTACTCCAGCATTATGTCCGCTCATTTCCTATTGATGGATCTACGGCGCTCAAAATATGCCTTGTGAGAGTATCAGAGTCACATTTTTCGGGATTCATATAATTCCAAAAACGTTCTACTGGTTCGCCGTTAAATACTGCCTGCAAAAAAATCTCCTTCGAAGGCGAAGAAATCCAGCAAGGGAGCTCCGACCAAGAAGCCAAAAGCACCAAAACCGAAAACGGCGAAGGCTGCAACATCGCCAAAAAGGAAGGCCGCTTCTCTCAAAAAGAAGAAATAAAAAAAAAATTAGACGTGTTGCAACGTCGTAGATTACGACTACGTCGGTTCGCGACGTTATATTTATGCGAGACGATGCTATACGTCCCCGCGGATTGAAATTACGTATCTGAAAATTGTTACCAGTTGGGTTTTCCCCGAAATGTCCATTGTTTCATCTGCTATTAACGCCAAATACGAGGCTTTGTTAATCTGTTTTAATATCTCTTCAAGACAAACTTCAAGAATACAATCCAGTAGATCGTTTTGTATTTCTTTCGAAGTTCCTTTAAATATTGAAGCATTTTTTACGTGTTCGCTTAAGGTTGTATCAAGCTCAGCAGAAAAATTAATCAGTCCACGAAATATTCCCGGGTTTTGGGAGCTCTCGGTTTCGTTGTGGCCCCGTAGCGCCAATTCAAATGCTCCGCAAAATTTTATACCGAGCACCGACCGACCAATCAGATATCGTTCTTCGCATTAGATCTGTACGAATCTGTATAACGTGCAGCACATGCTTATGCTTAAATCGCCCATTTGATTTTGTAGAGAGAGACCAAAGCAAGCGCGTGCGGCTTGTTTCGAAGTAGTGCACAGACCCTTTTCAAGTGGCCCATGAATAATGTTACGCTGCGGTCGCGACGAAAATGACAAGTACACAATTGGTCGATTATAATATATAAACAGACTCGACGCCGTATCTTGCGGGCGCAGCGTTGCCGGTTCTATTTTTGTGTTAACATGTAAAATAAATAATGATCAAATTACTACTGCTTTTTTCTGTTAAGACAAAAGTTTTGGCAGTTCTGCAGCTCCGCAGAACTTAAAGGCGAGCCGCCCCTGGCAGAGTTGATGTCGGATCTATGTTTTTGTTAAAGCGGAACGAGAAAAACAATGGCTCGGTGTATTTACCGTACGCTACTGCGAATTGCGACTCCGTTTGTTTATACTGAACATATATTTGCCTAATCTACGGACTTCCATTTATATTCATTAATGACTAATATGGAATTCGCTGAAATGTATTAACGAAAATACTCAATTAATACTATCAAGGTTATCGCCTAGGAAAAACAGATATGTACAGGTCACAATTCAACAGACTATGCACACTTCAGTGACAGTAGGTTTCAAAAAATGGTGTCGAGTAGCTTGATTTCAGCACAAGTTACACCCTCTGAGTAAAAATTTGTTACGAATAGGGAAATTAAACGGATCAAGTCAGTCAAATATTCCCATTTAGACCGCGGACGTTCTTTGTCTGCTATAAGAAATTATATACAACTGGTCGGCAAATAATGGTATGTTCCTCCATCAAGGAATATAATATAGGTACTATTACGTACCTCATTACTATAATTACACGAATGGAAAATTTTCATTAATGGTCGCAGAATTGAGGCATAAATCTTCAGTCGTAAATAAAATTATTATCGAGAAGACGTTTTTAATGATACCAGATTTGAAAATTTCGTATTTTTAAAGATTAATTGTTAAATACCTGCATGATATCAGATTTATTATTATGATACTAAGAATTACCTTATTATATATTTTGAAGTTAACGAATAAACATTTAAGGTGATTGGCATATATAAAGTAGTAGTAATAAAGTCGTATTCTGATCGTGAAAATAATTTATTACTCGTATAATTATCCAGGAGACAGGTTACGAAATCATTTGAAAAAAAAAATGTGTTAATTGTACTGCGATATGTCATTGGAATGTATTTTAAACGGGATGGTTTCAATGCCATTCTGACGTCAAACGTGTGACGAAACGATAAAAAAGCAAAAGTACAGATCAATAAACAAATGGCATAAAACAAGATGCACAAAAGAAACAGTCATAGCGAAACGAGCCCGAGTTATAAACAAGTTTGTAATTTGTCCTGAAAAATTTCGTCAACGTGTGAGAAACCAAAAAAACCTGTAAGACGACTCCCGAAAGGTTTAGTCATTCAGAGTTGCTAGAGGCATATACAGATTATTATACTTTGAAGTTGAGTCATTAATTTTCAGATAATGATTGTAGAAGGAAGATAAACCAAAATATGTAACAATAAAAAAAAATTACCTTGTTTTATAAACTATCCTCCCGACAAGTATTTCAGTGCGGACCTGTATTTGATCGTGAGGTCTTGGAGCACCGGCATGCCCTCCCCTGTGAGGTCTTAAATCACCTGATTCACGAGCCCTTTGTACTATATTAACAAAGGCACGAGGGGTTGGTTGTACTCGATTGGGAAACCGATCCGCATAAACATGTGCCATTTTTTATTTCGTTTGAGCCACGCAGCAAACACCACTATTCACTCACGCGTTACCGACTGACACATTGACTGAATAAAAACATCGTGATCAGCGTTTCAAATTCTTTCGCTTTTTTGTTTCCGATGCGATGAACCGATAAGGCGGATTATATACGTTGTTGCCAAACACGAGCACATAATATTATTATTGAGACAGGGCGGTACTCAAACTTCCAAAGGGCTATAACTTTGTTACTTTAATTTTACCAGAAAAATGGTAAAGGAAAAAAACATTTCTTTCGATCAGATCTACTCACTGTTAAAATAAATGACTCAACTTCGAAGTCACCCTGTATATACCCCACACGATTTTGTGTTTGAGATACCCAATAATATTTTTTTTGAGATAAAAACTGAACGATGTTCCCCAAAGACAGACTCCATACCCTAGTCTGCTATCAATTAAGGCATAGTACAGGCTAATGAGTTTGCTATCAAAAACAATTTTCAAGTTATGAAAGATATAGACTTGCGAGTTTTAAGTTTCTCTTTGACCAAGTAATCTAGACTTGAAGTGATTTATATGCCGTAAAGCATTAGATATACCTTCTTGGGATTCGTTCTCGATCATATTATACGAGGGTTGTCTCACAAATAAGGTTCCAGCATTTTTTTTAGACCCAAGGAATTTTTTGTTTGAAAAACGAATTTACCTTCGGAAACGGTGACCTTCAAGTTATTTTTCTACATGGTCGTCATTTTTTCTATGCATGTTTTTAGGCGTGAAATCAACTTTTTCACTCTCTCTTCAAGTGGAATTAAAAACATATAAATTGTGTAAGTACACAAGAACACATAGTAAATTTAAAGATAACTGGGGAAAACATTGGGAAAATGGGAAAAGTATTTTGTGTCAGCAACCAAACCATCAAATTCAGCACAGCTGACTACTGCAGTTCTGTGTCGCTTGTTTGTCGCTCTGGAGATTGTAAAATGAAGAGTAATGACGTAACGAAAAAAATAAGATAAGTAATGTAAAAAGCGAGAAGTGGTAGCTAAACTGAAAATATACTTACACGTATACATAGGGTCCCAGTTCGTCGACGATGGGCTTGGAACCGTTGTTAAGGAACTCGTCTGCGTTCGTGACATTATAGATGTACACCCTAATCGCTGGCACAACTGGCGGTTTCGCCCACCAACCGAATGCCTTTGAGCCTTCTCGTAACGTAACTTCCTGCCAAAAAAAGAACAGATAACCTGTTGATTTCTGATAGGTCGAAAAGCAGTGGTGAATTTAATACACAAAGGAATATGGGTCCCATTCGTTTAGTATGATTGATATATTTGTCGCTTTCCTGAACAAAAGTTCTCGTGCGACCAATGCAATCCAATGGTAAGTTTCTGAGAAATAGGGGGATTTTCAAAAAAATGGTGAATGTACCAATTGCAGTTTTCAGACGAAATATACTTGTAATGTCACGTATTCCTGTTAAGGGGTGATAGATTAGGGCAAAAGCAACCGATTTTGTCCTAAAATACTAAAGGAGATGTAATTAAATAAAACTGTAATTGAAATAAAAGCCTTTTATTTATCCTACGTAATTATCGTTCGTACAACTTTACTCATCTTTTTTTAATTTTATGTCTTTGTACTTGAGTTAGTTGTAACTTTTATACCTCAAATGAAAGCTTGTTAGATAGAGATATTATTTACATAATTTGCACATTTCATTACTAGGAGATTTTTTACAGAAAATTGCATTTTTTATCGAATAAGTTAGTAAAAAAATAAGAAAATCATACATTTCAAAAGCGTAATTTTAAAACTTTTGTAAGTTTTCAACATTTTATTACTTATTATGAACTATTGGAATGTCCGCTATGCGACGATAACAAACAACTCAAAATCAAACATGTAGTTTTTTTGTATTTCAAATTTAAACGTTTGAAATCGGAATAAAAAATAAAAAAATTAAAATTCAAATAACTCAAAAACGGTTAACTTCTGGATAGGACATTATAGGACAAAATCGGTTGCCTTTGACCTAATCTATCACCCCTTAACAGGAATATATGACATTACAAGTATATGTACTAAATGACATAAAAATGCAACACCGACTAGGAGTGCTGTATTTTGTTCATACTTTTACAATTTTAGGTCTATTGATAAATAGGAAGTGATAAAAATTTTTCATCAAAGCAGCTTTTAGGAAGGTGTTGGGAGGTGCTGTGTTGATATTGGCCATGGTCCTTACAAGGCCAATTCAAGGGCAAGCTTATTATTATTCGTCAATACTGAGATGGATCTCAAGCAGACAGTTTGCTTGACAACAAGGGTACATAAATGTCGCGGTTTTTTGCTTGTCATGTTGGTTTTGAAGGGGAAAGGGGAAGAAAAATAATATTGTAATTTATTGACTATTAATTTGAGTGGTTTTGGTCTGCTTTGTTTGGGTCAACTTTTTCGAAGAATAACTCTAATCTCTAATCTCAAAGAATCACATATGCCTAGGATTTGGGCGCCATCTGCTGGTGAATCCTCGTTATTTTCATAAATTGGGTTTCTATATCGTTAGTAAATTCCTTGTAGGGATACTTTCTAGGCCGACGTTAAATAATAGTATCCATTCATAAGAGCACCAGCGTTTTTATAAATGTCTCCTAGATTCGGTACATGCTGCATTTGAGCGGTTTTACTCGAGGAATTTGAAAAAATCGATTTTATGTGCACATTCACCATTTTTGCAAATAGACAAACTTCACCCCCTTTTCTCTCAGAAACTGATCATAGGATTGCTTTGGTGCCATGAGAGCTTTTGTTCGGGGAGGCAAGAAATATATCATAATGAATGTTTAGGCAAATCTACTTTGAGCCATTTTCCACGTTTTGCGAAGGCTCCTTTATGAAAAGCAAAATCGCTGTATGATTTTTCCAAAGAACCGAAGGTAACAAAAGTTGCAAAGGATGAAAACAAGCTGAATTTGTGGGTACCACCGTATTTTTAGTACTTCGGACAAATATTTAAATGAGTCGTCAGAAAAATAAATAACGAGCTGAAAGGTATGATGGTAACCAATGACGTTCTAAAAGTATCACCTCCTGAATGTAAACATATTTTTTATATCCTGTAAATATGGAAGTTTTCAGAAATCTGTATCGATCAAGGTATTCAGACTAGGTAGAAGCAATTAATCAAGAATTTGTTTGTCTCCTAATTCTCATAATCCGTAAGGATCAAAGTGCACTTGACACAAGTTTATTTCTCAACAGTTCTGTTAATAAACTCATACCTTTTCAGTGTCATTTTTTAAAAGTGCGAGTGTTCGCAGGTAATTGTGGTGTTGCAAGTTTTTACAACATAATTTGCAAAGAGCTAATGAACGTAGATGTTTCCACCGGTAAGTATTATGATTGTGTTGTTATAACACTGTCACTTTCGCAGGCATTGGTACTTAAATGAGTCAAAATTAAATACTAAAGCTACGCAATGTTGGCTCATCATAATCCAATAGATTTCGTTGGTATAGATAAAATAAAAGTTCAGAAAATTTAATATAGGATTATTTTATAATATGCATAGTTTGTTAGATTTTGTGCAATAGCAGTTGAAAGGAAGATGTTTTTAACGGAAAAATCTATGTGAGATGAAAAAACAATCAGAATACTCTAAAAATATTTCATTTCCATCGTATCTCTAAGATCTTTAGGTACTATTCCAATTTAATCCCTAAAATATACTAAGTGACATATAAATCCGAACATCCAGTTTAAATGGTTTTATTTTAATAAAATTTTGTATAAGTACTTAATGAAGCATAATAAGTAAATGATAAAATGATTCAAAATGATTGCACTGCTTTAAAGCCCTTTGACCTTTAATAATGTGTGGATGTACCCTGATGTGCTACGCATTCTCCAACGCGCCTAGGCAAGATTCTGATCAGGTGGTCAATGTCCTCCTGTGGTATCTCATTCCAGGCAACCACCAACTCCTCTCGAAGTGCTTCTAGAGTCTGAGGAGGACGTTGCAAATTGAGCAATCTCCAACCCATCATATCCCACACGTGCTCAATTGGGGATAAGTCGGGAGATCTTGGTGGCCATGGTAACAATGTGACATCATTATGTTGAAAGAAGTCTACTGTGACTCTTGCAACATGTTGTCGGGCATTATCTTGTTGGAAAGTTGGATCTGCCAGGGTGTCAAGATAGGGTAAAAGATGGGGTTCTAGAACTTCGTGGATATAACGCTGCGCGTTCATGTTAACTCTGATGAAGATTAAAGGTGACCTGGAACCATAAGCTATAGCACCCCAAACCATAACTCCAACAGTGTGATGAACATGTCTTTCAACAAAAAACTGTGGATTCCTCTTTTCACCACGTCGCCTTCTAACCCTGGCACGACCATCGTGCATGCCTAAACAAAATCGAGACTCGTCACTAAAGACAATACTGTTCCATTCCTGATCCCAGAGTGACCGTTGTCTGCACCACTCAAGGCGATTACGTCGGTGTTCTCGAGTTAAAGGGAGGGCCCAGTGTGACCATTTAAACCATTTAAACTGGGTGTTCGGATTTATATGTCACTTAGTATATATTTTTCCATAAGTATCATCGTAAATTTGAGTATCCATAGAAAACTGCTTATAACTGTATACATAATGGATGAAACAAATAATAATTCTATATAATTGTGAATTGTACTTACGTGATTTATTACTAATTTGACCCAGCTCATGAAAAATATCACAACTATTATTCCGAATAGTAAAAGTCCTACTGATACCGCTACTACGAACCCTGGAACAAAGAGAAATACTAATTAGTATTGTATTAAAGTCATAAGTTGTATAAAACTAAAATCCTCGTCGTCAATTAATGACTGAAATATAAAAAATTGTGATAGTGGCAAAATAGTAGCTTTTAGGCAGAAAACCATTGTGTGCCATCTGAAACTTCGTCTTTAATGTTGTAAACGTTGTGACGAAATTTTCTTCCATTTTTGGCCTCTTTTTTAGCCGCCATTTGATCGATTTTCAAAAACTACAAAATTTTTGCGCCCTTGGCATAGTAATAAGCGTGCAAAAAATTACGTATTACAAATTACACAAATTACATTACGTATTTTGAGAAGTGACATTATGTAGTTTTTTTGACATTATGTAGATTTTTCTACAATGTGTCAACTTAGCACTGTTGTACACTGGATGCGTACTCGTTCAGTACCTGCTTCAGAGATGGCGTTGTTGGAGGTCTAACCTGAAAGTTGAATACTATAGCTGGAAAGAAACGGCAGTGCGTAGGTGCACAGTGAGGATTTGTGTGCTAAAAGGGAGAAAATATTGTACATACAGGAATATTTAAGAAACGTAAAAAAGTTATTACATATCACATTATTTTTTAATTACAGTCATTTAAATGTTGTAGAAATGTATTTGATAATAATAATAATAATGTCTATTAGGTGAAAATAGTAGCAAAATACATTTAAATGAGATATGTTGCAAAAAAGGGCTCAAGGCATTTAAAAATGATACAAGTTCAGCCCTTTACCTATTACACATTCACATATATATATAGGTGAAAAATTAAAGCTTCCGCCTTTTGTTGGGTACTTCGACAAAATTTAAGCAAAGAGGACTCTTTATACTTTTTTAATTCTCTCTAGCTTTCAATGGACTTTGCCATCATCATCAGGAGCTGCAATTACAATGATAACAGTAGCAACAAAAGTGTAAAACGAATTTAAATTGACTCAACTTACAGTAGTATGTGAGGATGTTGCTAATTGTTGTTTACGTATAGGATGAGGGAAACGTCCAGTAACATGGTGAGAGCTGGATAGATGGTACAATGGTCAAAATTATATAAAATATGACAAGAACAAGTTAAAAACAGATTAAAAATTATTTAAAAAACATTAGAGCATTACATCGTGAAGCCACTTGATGATTGCACAAAATGGTGGTCATGGAATAATGAGTGAGATGAACCCTTTGACAGAAGGCCGAAGGTTGTCAATGTCTGTGTTGAAAGATGGAACGAATTGTGGGCGTGTGCCAAACGTTGCCAAATCACTTCAGATGATGTGATTTTCAGAATGTTATGTAAGAAATTGTTAAACCGATATATATATATATATATATATATATATATATATATATATATATATATATACTTATATAGAAAGAAAGATCTACCTTGGAAAACCTGGAATAATAGATAGAATAATAGTTACAGTACCAAAAAAATTTCTTCTTCATTAGTTTGGTTGCTTGTGCCTCAATTAGATAAATGTGCGCTGAAGTGTTTTTCAAAAATAATTTTTTTATATTCGATTTTAAACTGGTTTGGATGCAGATTTTAAAGTCATTAGGAATTTGATTGTAAAGCCGGTAAATGTTGTATGAGAAAGATCGACAAAAAAGCCCTGAAACCGCAAATTTAACTGATGAACATCGGTGCGAAAAGTTATTCTATTGAATAAATATGGTGGTTGCTTAAAAAACATAATTTTGTGAAAAAGATGACATTACATTACAAAAATTAAAATGGCTGAGTCCTGGTACCTCACACAGCAATATTTTAAGTTTAACAGGGAGGACGTATCGATGAGCATATAGAACTTTTAGAGAAGCATAAGCTTTCTGGATACATTTATTAATATGAGGCTTAAATCTTAGATATGAGTCAAATTCTACTCTCAAATTTCTCACGGTGGCAGAACAAGGTATAGATTCACTTTTTATTTTGACATGAAAAGTGGGCTCAATATTGTCTTTCAATCTGCCGAATAACAAGAGTTGTGATTTGCTTGCAATAATCTGTAGACCATGGTTTTCCGAAAATACAACTAATCTTTCAATATCCCCATTAATAATTTCCAACGCATCACGTTTCTCGTTAGGATCGAAAGAAAAATAAAGCTGAGTATCGTCAGCATACAAATGTTCGGAGACATTGGGAAAGGTTTGAGGTATAAATATTAAAAATCAGAGGTCCTAAAATGGAGCCTTGTGGAATACCCGATGGGTTGACATCTTTGGAGGACATACCTTTATCTGTTTCTACATATTGTGTTCTGTTAATTACAATAGTGGCACATAAGTGTGCTAGCAGATTCCTAAAATCACGATAGCAAGTAGAAAATACAAATCAGCGCCTAGATATGAGGCCGAGCGAAAATATTTTGTATGCGATGCGTCATTCCTAACTTTCCTGTGATAGCTTATTCCCGTAATGCTTCTCAAAGTTTATGAAGATGCAAAAAAAAACGGGAAAGAAGTCGTAATATATAACCTCTCTTCAGACCGATTTTTCTGTATGCTTTTCAACCCCTGACGCAAAAAAGTGATAACATAAGAATCCCTCGAGAGACGGCAATTTTCATAGCCTAGCAAATATACTAAGTGACATATAAATCCGAACACCCAGTTTAAATGGTTTTATTTTAATAAAAGTTGGTGAATGTATTTATCTTACTGTAAATAACAAGTGAAAAAATGTTCAGCCTTATCAGTTGGACATTCCGGTTTTTATACTGCTTTTTTTTAATTCACCAACGCTCTAAAAATGAATATTTCAGCCGCAGTAAAGAATCAACGTTGGCGGATTTTGGTTCTTGACATCCTTTACGATCGGTTACGATGCCTAGAGTACGGAGACCTGTACTATTTCGTCAACTTAGTGAGTTTGATACGGGCCGTATAGTGGGACTTCGGGAAGCTGGACTTTCTTTTCGGGCAATTGCAGTTAGAGTGCAAAGAAGTGTAGACACTGTGGTTAGGTGTTGTCAGGCATGGCTTCGAGAAGGCCGTACGCAAAGAGCAAGGGGCACTGGACGCCGCCGTAGAACAACAGACCGTGAAGATCGCCGCCTAAGATTATTGGCCTTAAGGGACCGTTTCTCCACTATCAGGTCCATTGCTAATGAATGGTTTGCAGAACACGGAAGACCTATTGGCATGCGAAGTGTTTACCGACGAATGAGAAGTTCTGGCTTGTTTTCATACCGGCCACACTGGGTCCTCCCTTTAACTCGAGAACACCGACGTAATCGCCTTGAGTGGTGCAGACAACGGTCACTCTGGGATCAGGAATGGAACAGTATTGTCTTTAGTGACGAGTCTCGGTTTTGTTTAGGCATGCACGATGGTCGTGCCAGGGTTAGAAGGCGACGTGGTGAAAGGAGGAATCCACAGTTTTTTGTTTGAAAGACAAGTTCATCACACTGTTGGAGTTATGGTTTGGGGTGCTATAGCTTATGGTTCTAGGTCAGCTTTAATCTTCATCAGAGGTAACATGAACGCGCAGGGTTATATCCACGAAGTTCTAGAACCCCATCTTTTACCCTATCTTGACACCCTGGCAGATCCAACTTTCCAACAAGATAATGCCCGACCACATGTTGCAAGAGTCACAATAGACTTCTTTCAACATAATGATGTCACATTGTTACCATGGCCACCAAGATCTCCCGACTTATCCCCAATTGAGCACGTGTGGGATATGATGGGTAGGAGATTGCTCAATTTGCAACGTCCTCCTCAGACTCTAGAAGCACTTCGAGAGGAGTTGGTGGTTGCCTGGAATGAGATACCACAGGAGGACATTGACCACCTGATCAGAAGCATGCCTAGGCGCGTTGGAGAATGCGTAGCACATCAGGGTGCATCCACACATTATTAAAGGTCAAAGGGCTTTAAAGCAGTGCAATCATTTTGAAATTTTTATCATTTACTTATTATGTATTAAGTACTTATACAAAATTTTATTAAAATAAAACCATTTAAACTGGGTGTTCGGATTTATATGTCACTTAGTATAACTTGTGTAGGAAGCGAGGTGTGCGTCGAGAGATGCTCCGGTACAATACTGCTACTAATCTTATGCAGACATCATCATCAGTACGCGATGCTTTCAATTTCAGACAAGAGCGAAAGTTCGCGAACAGCATCACAGATGCGCGTATGTATGCGCTAACAACGCCGTATCGTAAAATATCAAAGAACTGGTTCCGGCGAGATGTTGGTAGTTGGTACCGGTACCACCAGCACAAGTGGAAGGATCCCATCTGCTTCATATATACACAGGCGAATGTGCGATAAATGAGAGTTCGGTCGTACCACGGAGTTACATCAGATAAAAGAGCCTTATTCATTTGCGACGTTGCCGGCTTGCCTTCGCACATTCCTTGCATAACTTGGCATAACTTGCGTTGAAATGTACACCGTGTGCAGGGTTTTTAATTATCATGCATGTAATAGTTATCTCGGCTATAATTGGATATTGTAGGTATGTGGTTGCTCTAGTTCTGAGCGTGCACTTAAGTGAAATGAGAGACACAGTTCACATGATTCTGCACGAGTATCTCATATGAAAATATACCGAACTTCTTTCGGTGTTGCACTTGTTCGAAAATAATGATAGTACAGTATATTCAGATAAGAGATAGACCGGATCTAAACAAAAGGTTCGGGTGATTTTCACGCTAACGCCGCCGTCTCGACGTAAAACAGGAGCCCTCATTGGTCAATTCGCAATTAAATGCCTATGCCGAGCGGCAGAGCAGTCGTATCAAGGCAGAGTCACATTCAGGTTCAGACGTGTTACGTATGTCGTGTGCATCATTGCAATTTGATATTTCTTTGGACGTTTTCGTTTGTTATCTTATTAAGTTGTTGAGTTTGTCGTTGTTATTGTTATACCTTGTTATTGATTGTTATTGTTATCAACTGCTTGCGCAAAATGCCCAGTAGTACAGATACTGCCGATGAAGTTGTAAACACCTGTAGTCCACCTAGGAAACGCTCTAAAAAAAGACACCTGAGTGCAGAAATGAAAGAGGTCATTTTGAATATATATAAGATCGAG